TATTGCGTGGCTCACGATGATTCACACACATAATCATGCATTTCGAAATACAACTGAGTAATTTTTACAAGTATGCTGAATGAGCTGACAATTTAGTAAACTGGTAAACAGGACAGACGGATTAACAACCGTCATCTGGTTTCAACTTAGGTCAGGTTTATCAAGAAACTGGTACCAACTGAACGTATAAACAACTAGTATTAATGGAGCGGTCTCCTTCGTGGAGGAAACTGAAATTAGCGGAGGTCTATTTTTACAACAACTCATGTGGTGGTCTTCCAAGAGGTTATCACTCGAAGCACATTGAAGTGATCAAACTGTTCTGTTACATTTTCTCAGATTATTTGTCGTCTATTGATCTGCTGCGTACTAATCACATAAATAATTTTGAGGTCCCTGGCGTGGAGAATGTTAGGCGACGTCTGTTTGCAACTTATAACTAAGTGCGGTTCTCATAGGAAATTTTTGACGGCGAACAGACGAATTGCGTCATACTAGATCGTCATGAAAAATTTACGAGTTGTGGTTCGTGGGGGTGGCTGAGGAGAATTAGAAATGTCGAAGATGGAAGAGATAGGTAGACAACTCAGTTTCACCAGGGAGGTGAATCAACAAGAATTCGAGAGTGTTTGAGTCGCAACACCATAGAAATTGCTTCATTCCCGTCGTCAGACTTATCAATCAAGAAGGTTGTCCTTCCCTAATCTGACTTAGATGGCAAAAATTGATCGTTTTTCCTATTTACTTTTGTCCATCGAAATATTCCGCCCGTAAAATGTGTTTAAACTTGGTCTTATGGCTGGTTTATTGATAACACGAGCTGAAACTAGAAGTATTCTGGGATCTTTTCAGATAAGCTCTGCCACCAATGCAAAAAGTGAATGCGGGATAAGTTAAGCCCCGCCACCTTTTGCCAGCTCCAATTGAATGTACGCACACAATCTCGACCTATTTTTGATGAAAACAATTCCTTATCCGCTTCTAGGTTCATTGTGTGCAAAAATTTTCTCCTTTCGGACGTAAAGCCTTAAATGAACTTTGTGACGCTTTCAACTCTCGTTCATGACAAGGGGACGGCAATACCTTTTTTGCAAAGCCACGGAGTGATCCATCAGCAACGTTTATGCAATAATGGCCACAAAATGACACTTTCAACTGTTTCTGACAGATGGAGGTGTGATGCCCGATAGTGCCGGCAAGAAATTGGTCTTCGAAAGGGAACTTGGCTGGAGTGGTCTAGGATGGAGTTGAAACGATGATTGACATGAATTATACTCATGAAACGATTAATCATACCGAAAACTTTGTGGATCCAACGACTGGAGCTCACACACAAACCATCGAATAAACGCAAATGCGGCACACACCGATCTTTCGTGGACAGCTACTTATGTGAGTTTGTTTGGAGGCAAAGGTGCCGAAAAACGGACTTTTTCGTACAAATTAATAATGACATGTCCCAATTTCACCCTCTTCAAAAGTACACATTTCATATTCTTTTTTTTCTAATCTTTTTTGGATGGCGGGGGTTAATTTTTTGGTGGGGCTTATCTAGAGAAGATCCGTATTCCGCTCATTCGAGGAGCCATTCACCACGTGGCATCACTGAATTCCCTATTTGAAGGACCAGTGCCAAATTGCTGCTAGCCTCCTGTGACTCAATACCATAGTCCTCAACTAATAGCCGGGGTCTAGGGTTCAAATCTCCCCTGGGATTGGTGAGAGACTTACTGCTATAGGCACTGAACATAGATTGGCTTCACTTAAAGGAAGAAATCTCCTTTAAGACATTGCAAAATCTCACACTGTTAGCAAATATGAACGGACTAAATTCAACTTCACTTTTTCAGACTTTAGCTCAGAGAAACAAACTAACTCAGATAGCTAATAGGATAACTGATCAAACTGGAATTTTCGGCTCATGATGACTATCCCTGAGGCTAGGACAGCAAAATCTGGGGCCTGTGATGCCCCATAATAATGAATAAAAATTGAGGTACAGGTTCTACATATGTCACAAAGTCAAGATTGTGAATGCTAGGTATCGACTTCAGAAGGACTTGGTAAACAAAGGGTAGTTTGTTTATTTGACAACGTTTCGCTTTTGATACAAAAGCCTCATCAGGCCAAATGAGCAGGTTACCGAATGGAGATGCCATGGGTACACCAAGCAGCTTGAATGATCGATGTAAGCTTCGTATTGTTCAAAACAAAAACAAACAAAAGCTTGAGTTCCACCATTGAATCTAGTGAATACCATTCATAGCGACTGTCCATCCTGGCTTTTACAACATGCAGAATTGTCACAACAATTCATCGTGAAGAAGTTGTGCAGTTTTCAGTGAGGATTTCGCCATTTGAAAGGTCAAGGCGGCATACACCCAACAGGAGTGCGCATCTGACGTAACTGCAGCAGGGAAGCTCGCACCTGCGGTCTTCTGGCTGGTACGTCGAAAAGTAACCCTTCGAAGCTGATCATCGACAAGCGTCGTCGACTCTGAAAGACGACTGCACATTCCCAGTTTCAACCTGGCCTAATTCCGTGTGCTTTCTATTGAATTCAAAATGTTCGAATTGACAAAAGTCGTTTTGACACCATAATAGGCTCTGTATAAGAAATTTTCTGTTGTATATGAACTCATCTGTCGTCCTGGCTGCGAGGTAACCTCAAAGCTTTTAAGGTCTAAAAAGTAATCAAGAGGAACCCTGATATTTCCGCTGAAAGCACAGCGGATAAGCTCACTTATTTGCAAATCAGTTTGGTTTTCACGAGAGACTCAACTGAATCTCTCGTTTGTGATATTCTACAACTGAAAGTGCTGCACACAGGTCGCCTCACGATTCAGTTGGTACGATATTCGAGAGATCTCAGTACATTTTCATGAAGGAAACTACGCACTAGTTTGCTGAAAACTCTTCGATAGCCCACGACCGGTTTCACCCTTCTTGTAGGATATCATAACTAGAGATTCAGTTGAGTCTCCCGTGAAAACCAAATTGATTTACAAATGAGTGTGTCTCTCGAAAACAGTCCAATTTGGGTTCAAGTAGAACATAAGGTTGATGGAAACTCGGGGAATGCGCCTACCTGATGAGCCCCAAGAAGGGCGAAACCGGTCGTGAGCTGTCAAAGTGTTATCAGCCTGGTTAGAAAAATTCAATGTGGAAAAAACACAGTGGATAAGATTCGGAGTACAGTTTTGGCAACCTACCCGGGTTCTCTCTCAAATTAGTTGCTGGCCCCAATCCTAAGAATGCATGAATAATGCATGCATGTATGAATAATGCATCATAAATCAGGTCATAAACGATACTACAAATACTATCTTTGGAAAAGCCTGCTTTTGTCTACGGGTAATAACACATATTGTGTAAATTTCTGGGAATTGTTTTTTAGTTTTATGACGGAACTCTTTGGGAAATTTCTTCTGTGCTTTGTTACCTCATAATTTATCAGTGAATAAAATGTGCACGACAATTAAAATGGCACTGGATCACTGCTAGAATGCCATAGGAACAACGGCGATGGCTGAAGGTATCCCTGAAAGATATTATCCGGAAAAATATCCTAATTCAACGTACTCAACGCAATTCAGTCTGGTCGTCACTTCAGTACGCCCTTGAGAGAATGCGCCAGGTGTTTGAAATACATTCTTGATTTCGAGGTGTGCAGACCATTCAGTGCTTCCTGCGATCTATAAGAAACTGGGAGGATGTATAGTGCACAGCTATATTACTCCTTAAAATGCTGAATTGCCATGGTCACGTTATGTGACAGTTTGACAATGTGAACTATTGATCCCTTATCTGGAAGAGCAATAACGCAATCCAAACCTTTTGGCAGGACCACTTACAATTTATTGATTTTGTTAAGTAAAACAACCGAATGCAACTAGGAGACTATTGATCGCTTACCTGAAAGAGCAATAACGCAATCTAAACCTTTTGGCGGGACCACTTACCATTTATTGATTTTGTCAAGTAAAACAACCGAATGCAACTAGGAGAAACCTTACCTAAAAATCGGTAACCCCTATGGTAGCAATTTACCGCAATTGACTCACAATCCTTTTTAGAACTATCGGTATCAGATTGGTCCATAAAAAGTTCTACAAGAAGTAGACTGACGCCTCAATAGCCACCCCCTCCAGACATTCGGTAATAAGATGACTCGGTTTTCAAGGTTAAATACATGTTTACTAGTTACAATATCGTGCATTCGTGGCACATGCCAAAATATTTGCTCAGGTGCACCAGTTATAAGAAAATTCAGTTCCTCAATTTGACCAGGTCATCCGTCCAGAATGTGCATAAGTCATGTTTTGCGCTTTGAACTGGGTCATTAAATTGGCATACGAAGATTTGAACAGATACTCTGTTGTCTTGTTTGGGCTGTCACATTTTCCCATCAGCTCAGGTCACTGCGAGAGAAGCCAGTTCAGACAGTTGATAACTAACAAGCTTTTATCCAGATTGACTTACGAAAGGTCGTTAAGCATACTGCATTCCACTGGAATTCTAATAACCTTTAATTCAAAATCACGGATGACCTAGTTCCAATAAAGTGGAGCGTTACCGGCGCAGAACGGGGCTTGGTTTAATATCTGTCGTCCGGGCTCAGGACAACATGAGATAACCCCACTCCTCGATAGTGTGGTTCGACAATTTCATCAAAAGAGCATCACGGTAAATTCAACCCAAAACAGCCAGGTAGTTGACAACTGGGGGTGTGTACACCAAGTTCTACTACGACCTTTTTATACCCGGTTCCTATAGTTGGCAACCTTGGTTCCATTTCGAGTCCATCCAGTTCATCTTTATTCGTTTCACCTATAATCACACATTCGACGACATTCACGGTCGTTATTGTGCCACCAATCGCTCGCTGTACGCGATAATCGCACGAGCGCAATTGCAAAATCATTCACACACACAGTCACAGTGCATCACCATATAAGCATTGTGACACTGCTCCACACCAGGCGGACTACGCACAGCATTGGCAAACTCGGAATAAGTGCATAAGACGACCAAGCCAAACCTTAACCACAAGTGCATGAGCTGTACATTCGATTCGACAGCACGCACGAGCGTCATTGGTGCTCTCTCTGAGGTTCCTGCACGTAGCTCTTCCGGCAGATCGTGTAAGGAGCGATTTGTGTGTCAGTTACCAAATTTGGGTAAGTCGACGAATTTGTCATCGATTCGTGAATTTTGGGAAAACTTAATGGGAAATAGTTTGCTAACTGACTGTGCAAACAAAGAGAAGTCTAGCCTTCGACCAATCATGTAATTTATGCTGATCAAATGTCTCCTTGTTCTTTCTGAGTCAGCTTGAAACAAATTCTGTCATTTACACACGAAGTTGGTTTTGACAGGAGCGCAAATGAATCCAGCTGCATCTCAAGTTTATGATGATCCATCGAAGCTGAACACAGAGTTGACGTAAACTAGAGGATTGCACCTCAGCCTCAAGAATGAAAAAACCGGTCGTAGGATGTCGAATAGTTCACAGCAAACTTGTGAGTAGTATGTTATGTATGGACAAATATGCGCTTGATTTTTCTTCTCCAGGATTGTATATATTTACACTTATACAGTTGAACCATTTATTTAAGGCAAGCTAAGTTGAGTACTCACAGCACTTTATTAGATGAAATCATCTGAAAAAAATCTTTCGGTGAATTTGTCACTTGATATGCAAATTCAAGCTTCAAAGACCAGCAGTAAGCCTGAGTACGAACAGTGAACTTCTGATACCAATCTTCAGTTGGTGAAATTTGGACGCTGCTTCCTCGAATCTAGTAGTGCATTGTTACCTCCGGCGTTTGAAATCCAACCAGAGTTTTTTGTGGCAAAGTGGGTTGAAGAAAGTGTGTTTGATAGAGAGAGAGAGAGAGACGCGGCTCACTATTCGCCTGAGATGAAATCAGCTTGCATCTAACTGTCACTCCCGGCTCACTCGTATTCTGGTGTCCCAGGAGGTGATGAGATTCATGAAAAATCGTACAACTTACCTACATGATGAGGCTTTATCAGTACCAACCGTGGGCTATTGAAGAGTTTAAATAAACATGTTTCTGGGAACGTGTAAGAATGTGCCCGGATTGGCCACCACTTTCGAGTCACACTGCAGTGTTTTTCGTCTCATGGAACATAGAATATCACTAACGAAAGGCATGAACAACCTTAACTTTATGGCTCGCGCAGTTCCTGAAATTCACAAAAAAGTATGCCTAGCTGGCATGCGTGATGACCGCTTAGGATCACAGTCACTTGTTTCAAGTACATTCTTTTGTCAAGTGGGAGGTACAGGCATAAATTTAGCAATCGATGACTTACTACTGATGTCATTCCACTCTGAGACTGAAATGGATAATTGTCCGAAACTATTGCATAAAGTTTTCATATCTATTAGAAATTTGCACCTGTCTATCTTGGTATTATCCCCTAATGACTGTTGTCTCGCGGTTGAATAGTTCGGACATTCAGATTGAAACGTTACCAACAATGCTCATAAAATATAAGTTCCAAAGGGTGTTTAAAGATGGCCAAACAAAACATGTCCAAATTAGGACAGCTAAGTTTAGCCTACGTTTATGATCGAATCGAGGAGGCGGAAATTCTCAACTGCCTTAAACACGAGTAACTTGTACGCGACCACGAAAGTGATGGATTGCTGGATGGCAAAACTCATGTAATTAGTATGCATGTATTGTATGGTTGGTGTCTTAGCAACTTCGTCATTTCGATTGCTTCAGGCCTAATGACATGCATAAAAAGCTTTCGAGAGTTTCGTTTGGGCGGACAACGTTGGTAATGACAAATACAGATAGAGCACCAAGGAGATCCTTTGGGTCCGAGCGGAATCATATTTTTCAAGCATGCAGGGGACGAATGAACCAGTACCTCAGTCACATATCACCGACAGAACTCGAACTGTGTAATTTATCCCATTACTTATTTCAATCTATGCCTCACGGTGAGCACTTTCCTGCGACAGGACGATCGATTAATGTATATTCTCTACAACTACACAATAGTTACGGGAAACGAGCCTTTACTATCCCTGTAATTTTTGGATCCAGACGGTCCCAGAAAGGAGAAATGCCGCGATAAAAAGAAACTCGTAATTGTTTAAATTACTCGTTTCCCCAGGTCTGTCTGCCCGTTGTGAAAAAATCGTAAATTTTCACAAGAGTGAGAGTGTGAGAGGAAACTCTGTTTAGGTTACCAGCCATCGATCGGAACAGATCTGGAACAACTATACCTATCATTTTTGGTAAGATAGGGTACGTTAATCTAGGCTAGTTTTGCTTATATCTACTGCAATCAACAGCAGCGGCGTGGGGGAGGGTGGCAACTGGATGGTGTTCAACAAACGGCTGAGTGGCTGGCACAGTTAAGGCTTACAAGAGTTTCCAGGTTCGTGGGACGTCTGCAAACAGTACATAGGGTGACATTAAATGGCTGGGATCAAACACTGAATTCTTTGAAAGTGATTACAGCAGGTGCCCAATGTTGAACTGGATAACCGACCGGTTTACTATTGGTGGAAAGTCGGTATCCGAACGCCTATGGATAGCTGCTGCTATGTTGAGGGGCGAGATGGCCCAAGTAGTTACAGCGCGAATTTACTGACCGGAAGGTCCGTGGTTCAAACCCGACCTCTGCCTCTCGACTTCCTCTGTCTGGGCTTGGGCAACCTGGCAGTATCTCAGCCCTCGTGCTTCATTCTGGTGGCATGGCAGTTGGGCACCGAAGTGGTCCAAAGCTGAACGTTATGTTGGTTTAGTGGGGGCGATTGGTCCGCAAACGTTTCGTTACCAGTTAAGGAGCTCCTATCAACGCGCAACTGATTAGATTAGTAGCAGTCGCCGGTACAAAGCAAATCTTCGATGTGCGGTTGATGCCAGCTCAACCAATGACGAAACGTTTGCGACTTAACCGCAAAGCTCACGAAAAGAGCAACAGCGATCAATAAACGTGCAGTCTAGCGATGCGTCATTACAGTGAAATCCCAGCCAACTCCAAACGACAACTGAATGTATATCAGGTCTTCGTTCCTGACTCGCTTTAAGTGTTTGTGTGTCAACTTTGGTTTTGTCTTGAAGATTTTGCACTTCGTGCTCTGTGGTGCTACTACTTTGTCTCACTTACATGATTTGTGTTTCCCGGTGACATGCTGGAACAATGGGTCTCTCGTTCAATTGATACTGGTGATTCACGAGGTCCACCGGTCACACAAGTGACAGCTTTCAGTGGTGATGATAATCCTCCTAGGGGTGCATGCCAATACGCCCATACACAAGTTGATGTATCAGTGAAAATCAATTGTCTCTAACCAGTGTTAGTCACATGACACAATTATTTATGTTTCCCCGTTCGTCAGAATTACCCTTCGGATGACTGCTCAAGTTCCAAGATTAAACTATTCTATTTTATACAAAGTCGACTGTAATATTAACTGCTTGATGACTCGATTTATTCACATTCATTTCCGATCTGAGTTCTGAACATTTTGTCCCGCTTTGAACGGCACAACAAAGTTATCGCTTACTTTATCCGATAGCACGCCTCCCTTTCTGTACCGTCCTGTGTTGCTAACTACCCAATTCTAACCAATTCGTTGCCCTAAGATAGTGGCCTTGACATAGTGGGCACATATATGACTAAGTTTGTGCCCCATTTTGTTAAACTGAGGCATACGGTGGGCCCAGCTAAAAAACATCTAGAAAAATGCAGTTTGTGCTTTAACTTAATTAGAATTGAACAGTTAGCTGTAAAAATGTTTATCTGACAAACGTACTGAAAACCCAACCCTGTCGAAATACAAGTTGAGGTATGGTCAGTCAGTGAAAAGCGGGCTAAAACAAATGTCTTTAAGTCAACAAAAATATAAAGAAACTGTCCTAATCTGAAACACCGTTTTACCCAATTTCAGCCAGTGAAAACGGTTATCAAGGACCCTGAAGAAGGAACACATTCAGAGCCCGGTAAACCTCACATTAGAAACGACCTTTGCTATAGATTCATCCTGCATACCGTGACACCATGTCAAGATCACATACATCCTAGAGACAAGTCTGATCTAATTCAAGCATCACTACTCATTCTAGTAGTATCGTGTTGCTGGTTTGATAGGCTGTAAAAAGACGTTAACTCACTTTCCCGTGGCGGTAGTGAAATGTCTTTGCCGTGCGTAAATTCGCGTTGAAAATGGCTATGCCAGTTTTTGGTTGGCACGAAAAATGACGAAATTGCCGGAGAGGTTCGGTCATTTGAGGTCAACTAACCGCTTTCCCATTCATATTGGGACGTTCAGAGACGGGTTCACCTCAATGAAGTCATTGCAATCTACTCTGACAAGAGACAAACAACTCAAAGCAGTGGAAGTGGCAACTTTTACGTAGTGTCCAGATGGAGATATCACGTTCTCCGGAAAAATCCGTATATGGTAAAACTGTCTGCGACATCGTGTTGATGATATCAAGTCATTAAATCAATTATATATAAATCTGTTGAAGGTACAGTAAAAATACATTAAATATGGAAATTAAATATTTCTCAAAGCCCGGTTGCTAGGTTAAAACCAGTTTTAATTAAGATATCCGAGCGATATCAATGCCTTTTGAGCCAGGGTCAACAGTGGTTTTGAGAGATATCAACCGTTAGGCAGAGTGACTGAACTCCGCGAATTTCGTACAATTCGGAGTCGAGGAGAACACTGGGTTCACGAAAACCAGATGAAGTGATGAACTCTAAGGTGAATGAAACAAGCAGTAGGCTGCCGAGGAGTTTATAATAACCTTGTGATTGGTGCTCCTTGAAGGAAATCCACTGTGGGATTTCAAATATCGTACAAACTAAAACATCAGGCGGCGTCTGTGCCGCACATTCTTCTGCGGCACAGCATAAGCAACTGCGTCGGCTGGGTTTCACTCGAGTGCTTTGTGAACACAAATTTTCAAGCTTCTTGGAAGCTACCGCTGGCAGGAACACGCTCAAATTCTCAGTGAATATTGTGATAATATTGACAAAACACTGACCGTATTGAGGTTGAGAAAAAATAGTTCCAAATGTCCGCAACTCGTAGTGGTTCTAGTGCTACAAACCCAAGGTTTGTAAACGAGCAATCAGACAGTTGACCACTGCTCTCCAAAAAAATTAGGTTGTGTAAAACAAACACTTCGGAAATTCCTGGGGACGCCTAACAATTCTCCATAAAATACACAGAGACATGAGGGTGAAATCAAACAGGCCCGCGTCCCGCTGCACAACAACCGGCATGTGTTCAGCATGACATCTTCTAAATGGGTATCACATTCGGATTTTGTTACGAAACTCACCAACAATCAGATGTGATTTATCAGGATGTTATAAGTAAAGTGTATCGTTTTCTTCGCCTATTTGCGTGTGATGAAAGGTTGCTTCGTTTTATTGATTGAAAATTAGTTGCCGCGCATGTTCAGCTCTCGGTAGAGAGCTCATTACCGACAAGGCAAAGGCATCAGTCTCGTGTGATATCTCACCGTCAGTCACATCCACCTGGCCCAGGAACTACGGTCTAAGGCAGCCATCCGCTTACCCACACAGTAATCGTTGTGATAAATTGTCAGTCACCTTCACAAAGATTCCAGATGGGCGAAAACTAGGAGACTGAATTTTATCAGACAACAAGCTTTCTCTAAAACTAAGTAAAACTAGCATTCACAACTTGCCTAGAAATAGGATTCCTTCAGAGGGTAAATGAGTCGGAACTCGTCACTAAAGCTATTCACACTCATCGGCCACCAGACCTTCCTACATAGCTCCCAATGTGTCTAGGTGACCATCACGCGATTGGACTTGCGGTTAGCTGATTTGTGTTAGCATGCAGCTATCCCTCCGTACTAACGAGACGTGTTTCTCTACACAATGTCCTTTAATTAACCAAATGTGAGGCGGAGGAAGCCCAGTAAATGTGAGGGAAGGAAGCCCAGTAGCTAGGGCGCAAAACGGCCAAACGCTAGGCCCGTGGTTCTACCCCAACCCCGACGCCTCAACTGCTGCTAGCTCGGGCAATCTGGGGGCATCCCGGTCACCGTGCCTCCTCTGACTGGCATGGCAGCTAGAAACCAAAAATTTTTTAGGGTTGATCGATTTCGGTCGATATTTTAATCTCGATATATTTATTCAATGTATCAATTCCCTCATTTCCATTCGGGGTCCTTTCTTTACATCTTTTCATTTCTTACAAGGGTATTGCATTTCGAGTGGATCTCACAAAACACACTTGCCTTTTGAACGACTTTTTATGAGCCAGCTAAGCAGTTCAGCACTGTCCTTCACAATATATGACAAACGTTGAAACCCACCACTGAAAGAGCCTATGAAATCGCACAAAAATATGAGATTTCTCATGGGGTGAAGAATGTTCGGACATCGCGAGCATCGCCCCACCGAATACCGAGGAAGCCTCTGCATTACGTATTCGATTGGGAAACTTCGCAAACAGTTGATTTACTTAAGTGTTTTTTAATCTATGCGATACATTGGCTAGTCCACTCGGTGTTTTTGACCAGATAACGCAAGAGCTCGCTACCTGAGGTTCAAGAGGATGCATTTTCCACCAACTGAAGCAACACAACACACTGTTTGACCTATGGTTCGTGTATGACTCCTCATTGCCGACAGCCGCTGAGCCATACACTTCCTAGCAGGTGCAACAAGGCTCTTGATCGTACACTTACAAAGGACCAATGACATGCGTGCTGACCAGCCTGTAACAGTCAAATGGTGTCTTCCAGTGACGCGTAATACTAGAACATCCGGAAAGACAAAACAAAGTCGGAGCTGGGTTTCTCTAGGGAACTATTAACGTAAGACATCAATTCACAAAATGTACAAAAACCTCGCCCACAACAAATGGTCAACTTAGACTACGACAGTACGAACCAAATTAGCAAACAGGCCTCCCATGAGACAGTCACACGTGCACAAGGTCGGCCAGAAAATGGCTGGATGACCTCAAGGTCGGATAAGTGAAGTAGTATGGACAAACAAACGCCAGCCCATACAGACGCATTAAACCCAAAAGTAAAACGGGGTTAAAAAATAGGGACAAATAAGGTGGGAGTTTCAAATGTCAAAGTAATGAACGGTTCACATTTTGGGCACATATGTTAAAGGGATCAAAGTGGGGTACATTTGTCGTCAGCTGAAGCGAAGTTTTCTCACGAAGACTTGATCCTGTATGTGAAGCCATTCTATGCGGAGAAGCCAGGAAGAATTGTAAAACCGTTTCATCGTCATCAGCAGTGCCAACTTCACGAAACTCCTGGGAGGCTAGAACCTGACTGCCACCTGTGGCCGAAAGGTAAATTGGTCATATTACTAGCGCGGAGGTCGCGGCTTTGAGGCCCCTTTTTGAGAGCCACTCACTGCTAGGTATCCCCAATAAGGATAAGCGAGCTTTACAGTGGTCCTCGGATTCTTAGCACAGAGTGGCTTCACAGACAGGCGAAATCCCGACAAAAAAGTTCCTTAATTTCCTCACACTGCCAACAAAGCAAAGTTCAACTCATCTCTTCCCGCATTCAGCTAACCGACGGGTAACACGTCTTGAAATGAACACTTTACAACACCAAACATTCAAGTCACTGTCTTTACGCTGATTTACGAGGATAATACCTCAAGACACACACACAAAGTTGACCCTTAAAGTGAATTCAAAGCGCTCAACCTTATGGCCAACTCACCGGACTGAGTAGAACGTTAGTGAAATAGATTCACCTGCAAATGACGTTGGTGTTTACGACAGGTTCAACTAAATCTCTTGTTTTTGGTACTCCACAGGTGTATGTGTTACCCCATTGTTTACCCGATATCGTATTCGGAATATCCCGGTGTACTTCCTCCGTGTGACGTGCTAGTCACAAGAACGCGGAAGATTCTTTGGCCCTATGTTATGTCAAGATGGCACCACAAAGGACAGAACCGGTCGTAGACTATCAAAGCGTTTCCCGAGATATTCAGAGTGGCAGAGTGTGTAAATGAACTCCATTGCTATGTCTCGAGTATCGTGCTAACTGAAATTCACGTGGAGCTTATCACAGGCGAGAGATTGGGTTAAACCTCTCAATAACACCAGTTTAATGTGCAAATGGCTGTATTTTAACATTTAGCACAGTTTGATGTTCAAGTAGAATATGATTTCGATCCAAACTGTGCCCACCTGATGGGTCTCCAAGAAAACCAGTAGAAGGCTTTCTAAGAGTTTTCAGCGACCCAAGAAGTAGTGTGTTATGGGTGGAATTTCGTTACTCACGTTATACTGCAGCAACAATAAAATCGTAGTACGCTTCCCCAGCCAGTCACATTTCTCAGTTCCAAACGGGTCGCCATAAAAAACACATCGTGATATTGCACTTTGTGGAAAAAACTTATTTTCAACGCGGGTATCACTTACAATTCACCGCCTTCTTCGGACTGTTGAAGGCTTCGTTCTTACTGAGAGTAGTCTGGGTTGAAAATTTCGGGCTGGTGAAAGTCATTTACTTCATGGGGTCTATTGCCTGTTACCTGGTGGAGCTGAACAGAGATTTGCGCAACTCGATCTAATGCTGTAGTGATGCAAGTACGACAAAAATTCATGTGCTGAGTACCAATTTTTTTGAGCAAGCTCGACAAATTTCACAGAACTACATCGGTCAATATAAGTGTACAAAAATTATCCGAGTTACCATCATTATTATATTTATGGTCCTTGATCAGAGTAGTGACAAAAAAGATAAAAACAACACTACTGTCGAGTTCATCGCGACCCTTCGTTTATTATGGAGTCTTTGTGTTCGCATGCCTTGAAGAGTTGTATTTTGATCTCTCACCAGTGATTTCACTGAAACTTCACATTAAGCGTCTGTCCAAGCAGCATCAGTTCACGTGGGTGCGGGTGCCATATAAATTATGTATGTTTCGGTCTTGGTGGTATGAGAAAGGCTAGCTTGTTGAACATAATCCCAGAACCCTACTGAGACACGCAAACACCACCACAGAATATCAGTAGGGAAGTCGTAAAGCACAGATGTAAGAAAAGTCAGCTTGTGATCGAACGTTCAAGCAGTCAGTCAATTCAGCTACGGCCGGCCGGCGAGTGTTCAGGCACGGCCGACGGTGGTGAGTGTTCACCAAAGAGCCTGGATCAATATTAAGAGTGACCTGTAAATGCCCGAGGCCCTTTGAAAATTTCGCACTTGGTTGTTTGAAATAAAGCTCTTGTATTCCTTCATAAAGGAAACTACTCACAAGGTTGATGAAAACTCTTCGAAAGCTCACAATCGGTTTCGCTCTTCTGCTTTGGGCTCATCAGGTAGGCGCAGTCCCCGAGTTTCCGTCAACTTTATGTTCTACTTGAACCCAAATAGGGCTGTTTTCGAGAAATACACTCATTTTCAAATCAATTTGGCTTTCCTGAGAGACTCAAATGAATCTCAATAATAATAGGTAGAACATAAAGTTAAGGGAAACTCGGTGACTGCGCCTACCTGATGAGCCACAAGAAGGTCGAAACCGGTCGTGGGCCGTCGAAGAGATTTCAACAACCTTGTGAGTAGTTTCTTTTATGAAAATATACTGCGACATCTAGAATATCGTGCCAACTGGATCATGAGGCGGCCTGTGCGCAGTACATTCAGTTATAGAATGTTTTATTCCTTGTTGGCGGCACCAAGGCACTGAAGCGATAGATACAATAGGTTGAAGTACGCCTTTTTGAGTCATCTGGTACTTCATCACACAGAATGACATTCGCACACTATTGGATCACACGCTCTTCCCCTCTGACCTTGGATTATGTATGTCCAATGCAAATAGAATATGTGACTCCTATGTGAAGCTTTCAGAGGTGAAGGGAGAAATGAGCACTGGAAATAGCCAGTCGAGTACATCTCCAAGGCTGCCAAAGATACGTACTGCCAGATGTAACAGGCAATGTACATGAGACATCTAGACAATATGAGGTTTAGACTGGATCTCTGAAAATCTACCCCTGACGTGTACGAAGTAATACTGATAAGCATAGACTGCACCACTTTTTACTTCATTTGCTTTAAATTTCTCACCATTCCTCGGTGAAATGACATATTAAAACCCACACCATATCTCCTTTTGCTACACAAAAAGGGACGGAGGCGCACGAGCGTGATAAGTGCGGTAGGTTTGTTGGCGAACTGCACGTTTTCGCAACAGACAGTTTGGTGAGTCGAGTTTTCAACGCTGCAATGCAGGGAATTGAATATCAAGATTTTGATTAACAGATTGTCACCTGACTGCACGAGGGAGACAAATCCCTCAGGTGACTTCCCCAGGCATTCACCACTTTCGTCTGCGCCATCCGTGTGGAAACTGTGCGGTGCAGACGTGAGCAGAGTGGGTGAACCGTGTGGCTGGAATGAGACAGAAGTGGGAATGGGACCACAGCTGGTGCATGTCCAAGATCGGCGGCAGGTTAACATCAGCTGTCTTAGATCGCCGAGGTGAAGCTGAATTCGATAGCGCGCTAGCAACCGGATGGACTTGACTGTTCGCATGTGGCTTCCTACAGTTCTCCATGTTTTAGGCGATATGTTCACTCAAGTAAAGAAACGCGATTAGCAACCGAATAGGACTAGTAACATTCGCGATGTGAACAAGACCTCACCTCATTAGCCGTGCGCGAACACCGACCTACAATTTTTTCAGCGCTACTAAAACTAACTCCCAAAGTCTGCACTTTGTTTCCCCTCTCAACCAGAACAAATACACCTCACTCATACTCTGCAAAACGCTTATTTGCCGTTACACTCAGGTTTTTGCCTTCCGGCTTATTCTGACCTCCGAGAGAGATGCCATTGGGAAATTCCATTATCTGAAGATATTGGAAAATTGTTCCTCGCTCTCAGTCTTCCTCTTTAGCTAGTAGGCAGGATCTGAGAAAGTTGGATGCGTAATTCGGAACGTTTTACGTATCTGGGAAGTTGTATTAGTTCTGACTGTAGTGTGATAGATGAGGTGAATGCACGAATCTGCAAGGCTCGGGCCGCGTTTACTAACTTGAGACACCTATGGTGTGAGAATGGTTTATCCCTGAATCTGAAGGGACGTGTGTATCAAGCTACAGTACGGGCTGTTTTGTTGTATGGCTGTGAGACTTGGCCTATTTGAGCAACGGAACTTAGACGTCTTCAGGTGTTCGACAATCGTTGTCTCAGAACCAGAGCTCGTGTGGGTTGGTGTCGCTGAACCCGTAACGAGGCAGTTAGAAAGTGCGTTTTCGGTTGTGCATCGGGTACTTCCATTGAAGAATGTGTCCAGCACCAGAAGCTGCGTTGACTGGGACATGTGTTACGTATGCCGAACCATCGTTTGTCGAAGAGAGTGCTGTTTTCCATACCCAATTCAGAGTGCCGTAAACAGAGAGGTGGCCAACCCTTGACTTGGCAGAGGAGTATGAAGGAGATCACGAAACGCTTGGGTGCTGTCGGTGCTACTCGCCTTCCAGGATGGGGACCGCGTGATCCTCACTGTGCCTGGTTGGAGACACTACAAGATATGGCTGCCAACCGATGTCAGTGGCGTTCTTGTTGTCAGTTTCTATCCAGATTGCCTGAGTGAATGTCTGGAGATGTAGGCACGTCGGAAAGATTATGGTAAGCTAGCACTTAGTCCCTTCCCTGTCCATCTTTACTCTTTTCTTCACAATCAGGCTTTCAAATAAATCATGGTTGTATGGCAGTGAAGCATCGGTGTTGAGCACTGATATCATGCGGTCGATAATTTTGACGATGGTGATGTTCCGTGGGCATAAATTCGAATTCTAAACTAATCATCAATAAATAGGTGTTTAATTAGTAGTGAATTTAATTTTCCATGTGGTTTTTCAAGGGGGGGGGCACAGTGAGTATGGATTGTATGCAACACGATTGGTTCCCAGTGTCCGCACCTGCCAAACGGCCTCAATATGGCTATTTATGTCCATGATCAGTCTGTACATGTTCTGTTTCAAGGTTCGTTTTACAGGGCAACAAAGTGCAGACTTTGGGGATCAGCACCGATGCAAACTGTAGATCGGTGTTCGTGCACGGCCAATGAGGTGTGGTCTTGTTCAAATCACTGACGTTACTAGTGATATTCGGTTGCTAACCGCGTTTCTTTACCTGAATGAACATATAGCCCAAAGCGTGCAGAACCGTAGGAAGCCACGTGCAAACAAGCCAAGCCCGAAACAATTATGACAACACCAATATGAGCTTAAAAATTTCCGGTTGCTAGCGCGCTATCGAATTCAGCTTCACCTCGGCGATCTAAGACAGCTGATGTTAACCTGCCGCCGATCTTGGACATGCACCAGCTGTGGTCCCATTCCCCCAACTTTCTCAGATCCTGCCTACTAGCTAAAGAGGAAGACTGAGAGCGAGGAACAATTTTCCAATATCTTCAGATAATGGAATTTCCCAATGGCATCTCTCTCGGAGGTCAGAATAAGCCGGAAGGCAAAAACCTGAGTGTAACGGCAAATAAGCGTTTTGCAGAGTATGAGTGAGGTGTATTTGTTCTGGTTGAGAGGGGAAACAAAGTGCAGACTTTGGGAGTTAGTTTTAGTAGCGCTGAAAAAATTGTAGGTCGGTGCTAATGAGGTGAGGTCTTGTTCACATCGCGAATGTTACTAGTGCTATTCGGTTGCTAATCGCGTTTCTTTACTTGAGTGAACATATCGCCTAAAACATGGAGAACTGTAGGAAGCCACATGCGAACAAGTCAAGTCCAACACCAATTTGAGGTCAAAATTTCCTGTTGCTAGCGCGCTATCGCACTGGAATAGCTGATATTAACCTGCCGCCGATCTTGGACATGCACCAGCTGTGGTCCCATTCCCACTTCTGTCTCATTCCAGCCACACGGTTCACCCACTCTGCTCACGTCTGCACCGCACAGTTTCCACACGGATGGCGCAGACGAAAGTGGTGAATGCCTGGGGAAGTCACCTGAGGGATTTGTCTCCCTCGTGCAGTCAGGTGACAATCTGTTAATCAAAATCTTGATATTCAATTCCCTGCATTGCAGCGTTGAAAACTCGACTCACCAAACTGTCTGTTGCGAAAACGTGCAGTTCGCCAACAAACCTACCGCACTTATCACGCTCGTGCGCCTCCGTCCCTTCTTGTGTACGAAAAAATCACCGATGCGCGTAGCACAAGTGTCACGCAGTGCACGCCTCCGAAGGGCACGAGGGCTAATAGACAAACCACTGACAGACATCTGCAATATGGGCAAGTACTCAGATTTCTAGAAACGAGGTCATTCGACTGTATCAAGCGCATCAGAGGCTACAGCTAAGCGAACGACAACGAGGGTACTCTGGGTCGACTGACGAATGAGGGAAGGCCTGGTCACTCGAACACACCGCAGCAGTTTCACCCATTGTGTGGATGAGACCCAGGCTAAATGACCGATGCTTCTGCCTTAATACAGAGCGCATGCAGTTTTAGCCAGAGCTGAAGCTAGTGGCATTGAAAACGGAACAACCAGTTGTGTCGAGCATTCAAGCTGAATCGATTTCATCTGGCAACGGGTTACCGATCATGCTTCACGAGTAGCAAAACTACAGTGGAAATGAGACCAGTCACAAAGAGGCTCGTTTAGGAACTTGTAGTAAAATACCTCTGCCCTGACGGGGTAGTCATGTGGGGTTCCCCAAAAAGCAAGTTGGAAATTTGAAAGAGTATTCGGAAAACTTCTTGGAAGTGTAACATCCTTTACAAGAACATGGATAAGCATTGAATGTGGAATTTTTTTTCAATTATACACTCATTTGCATACCAGTTTTGGTTTTCAAGAAAGACTCACCTCGAACACAGCTGAGTCTTTCATTTATGATGTTCTTATGTAACTGAATTTGCTGCACAAGGCAGCCCCATGCTTTTGGTTCGTACGATATTCGAGGTATCGCAATACATTTTCTAGGCAGAACACACTACTCCTAAGGTTGCTGAAAACTATTCGACAGTCCACGACCTTCTTGGCTCTCATTAGATAGGCAATATCCGCCTGTGTCCGTCAACCGTGTTCTACTTGAACCCAAATGCCACGAAATTCGACCAATGCACTTATTCGCACACCAATTCTGTCTTCGCCGAAGATCCACCTGAAATCCAGCTCATATAACTGAAACCACTTTAAGCACACATTGGTTCTCTTCTCCCTGTCTAGTATAGTGCATGATATTTCGATATGGTTCCCCTTTTGAAAGTCTTCCCCGATTTCAGTTGGGACATTCTGAACATCACTAACGGCGTGCTTGTAGGCGATGTTACGAAAAAGCGCCTACAGAGCACTCATCAAATCACGTTGTATTCTAAGATCCAGCACACCCATAATGTCCTTTGATTGACTCTAAAGGTAACTGTATTTGTTTAGATTTGTAATGTACTACTCATAAGGTTGCTGAAAATCTGTCGACAACCCACTAGCGGTTTCGCCCTTCTTCGCACTCATCAGGTAGGCGCAGTCCCCAAGTTTCCGTCAACCTTATGTTCTACTTGAAACCAAATTGCACGGAATTAGCTAATATACACTCATTTACAACCTAATTTGGTTCTTTCGGG